AGCTCATTATATATTTTGAGATAACCATCTATAAATCAAGAAGGCATAGTCCCCTGCAGACTGCGGTTCCTCAGTTCACTATCCAGTGCATTTGGAGCGAGGGCCGACCGCTGGCCTAAATCCCGTCTCCGCACCCTGGCGCTGCCAATAAGATTACTTTGTATGTTTAAACTAGCTGTTGCATTCGGCTTTGCCCGCGTTATGGGGTTAAGCTCATGATATTATTTTGAGATAAGCATCTTATTACCCGCGAGAATTTTGTTATGGGGTGATATGTTATAGGATCTACATTCCTTACTTTGAATTGAATTGAATTACAAAAGGTTATGCTAAGTTACCAAATTAATCAGCTTTTGAGGTCCACATGCTTCAGATCTTGGAACTGCTTAATTACTGAATGAGACTCTCAGAAGCAGTGTCGTCGTTTCAGCCAAATGACGTCCACTGCTGGACAAAGGCCTCCCCCAAGGTTTTCCACAATGAACGGTCCTGCGCTGCCCGCATCCAGGCTCTTCCCGCTACCTTTACCAGATCGTCGGTCCACCTAGTAGGAGGCCTGCCCACGCTACGTCTTTCAGCCCGTGGTCGCCACTCGAGAAGCAGTGATAAGGTTAAAATTATACTGGGACGTGTGAAAGGGCTTTATGAAAGCCTATTGGAAACAAATGACTTTTATTACTTTAAAGACTTATATTTGAGGAATATTTCTTCTGTAGAATGATTAAATAGTTGAGGTATGGATACGCTTTGTTCGTACACAAATAATTTATTTACTTACATCTACCATTAGCGTATTTATCTTACTGTTTGGCTTCCATTTCCTCTATCTATTTGCATTGGCATAAAACTTGTTTTATCGTTCAATAATATTCAAATGATGTCAAAGTTTATTGTCAATCACAACAGTTCATTTACACTCCATAAAAAGAGAATGTGCTGTCAGTGCTGTGGTGACTCACGTCAATGAATCACTCGTCTCTCATGCGATTCACGCCAGCATCCGATCCGAATAGCAGATGTACTCGTAATTTTGAATCGTTCGAATTCAATATCGTTAACACAATTTAAATTAGAAAACTTACTAAAATGTCAACATCAAAATGTAAAAAAATACTTCTTTCAAAAAGGAGAGCTTTGTTGTTTTGTAATGAATCTGCATCGTGCGGTGGTCCACACAGCCTATGACCGCAGTCTGTAGAGGAACACTATTAAGTGGTCGCGATCCTCATCAGTGAGGGACCGAGGAAGAAGAAGAATGACTCTACATCTATGGGTTTCAATCCCAGTTTCTAGTTATTTAGCGTGAAAAACATTTTGAGATTGGATTTTAAATAGCCTATCTTCAAACACTTCGAGTGGCTCAAAAGAACGGATAATTAGTTGAATGATTTGGTTTCGTGTACGAAATCATTATGCTTTTGGAACACTTCAAAAATACGTATCCTGAATCAGGATTCCTGATTTCAATTTAATCAACAAGTTAGTGCGGCGATTCGCTCTCATTGTACAAACATGGCACATGAAGTTGAAAACTATTGCATCGTAAGTAAATGGTAATAAGTGCGGTTTTGCAACAAAAATCTTTAGCCTGGTATGCTGTATGCGTGTTGTGATTACTGATTCGGCTCATTCAACCCTTAGCGTGGCCGTAAATGTTTAACGACCACTCATCTCGACTCTCGGACCGCAATAAAAATCGGCGGAGCGCAGTAGCAACAACAGCTGTAAAACAATATTCGAGGGTGCCGTTATACGGAGGAGCCACCCTAGCGATGTGCAGCTCCGGGAATCATTCCCGAAGGTGGGAATATTACTGGAAAAGTTGCACGGTAATTTATAGAAGAGTTTCGTAGACTAATTTTGTTTATTTAAACAAATAAATAATAAATAAATTTTAATATCCTTGGACATTTTACACTGCGCTTCTAGTCCCAAACTAAGCAAAGCTTGTACTATGGGTACTAGACAACGGATATAAACATACTTACTTTTTTTTTGTAAATACATACTTTTTATACATAGAAAACACCCAGTCCAATACAAACAAATATGTTCATGCACACAAATGTTTGTACTGTGCGGGAATCGAACCCGCTACCTCCGGAATAGTAGTCCGTTTCGAACCACTACACGAAACGGCCGATATTTAAAAGATTTCGTTCGATCATTCGCTTCAGCCCAATGATGTCCACTGCTGGACAAAGGCCTCCCCCAAGGATTTGCATAATGATCGGTCCTGCGCTGCCCGCATCCAGATTCTTCCCGCGTCCTTCACCAGATCGTCGATCCACCTAGTTGAAAGATTTGCTCGGACACCTTTGTAGAAATATCGCACCTATTACTACAACTACACAAGAATCCCCTGCTTCATGTGTCTATTAAAAATGAACCTAAAACTGCACAAAATGAACTCTTATATGATTCCAATTGATGTTGCAGTTAACATCAGGTAATTTCCGGTCAGTAGGCGAGCAGATTTTAATGTCAATTTAACGTATTCATTAAGTTCCCGGTATCCCAAAAATGTTGCCGACAACAGCAATATTCCCGGTACCACGCTACATCTCTACGCTAATCCATCCCCACAGCACAACCCTTCAACTCTTCAACGCTTTTCCACTCAGCCGGCGGCACTTAGCGATACTCACGCACGGCCGAATGCTATACAGTAAGCATAAAATTGGATGCTCTACTAAAGCGATGAGCTGCCTGAATCAGGATGATTTGACATTTCACGAGAGCGCCGACAAATCTCAACAATCAACAAAGACATGAGAAACTCAAAGAAATCGCTTCTAATTTCGTCCACTTTGTACAGCTGTATCGATTTCTTCTTACAGCCACTTTATATTACGCTTGACGAGTTTTTATGGACAAGTAAAAATATATTAAAAGCAGCTATAATAAGATCCCCGAACGTGATTGAGACGTCTGGAGAACATCTTAGATGTTCTTTGTAAGGCTTCATCTTCATCTGAGGAACGCGACGGTTTATTGTCAAACTCTAATAGGACGCGACCTTTTACAGACACCGAGCTTTCGGGAATTATATTTGGACGAACAAACGAGAATACGGGATAATGTCAACGATCCGATTTTAGATTCGGCAGCAATTTCGGCCGAAAGCGGGCCCATTTGAGCCCGGAATTTGGTTACCTTTGAATGACGTTACGTGTATGCGCGCCGATTGTTCTCACTGATACAGTTTTGTCTTTTATAGCTTTTAAGATGTATCTTAAATGACCATTATTTTCGTTTTATTTCTTTTAATGAATTCGTTACAAAAATCGAGATAGCAAATTCGTTTCTTTATCTTGTTCTCTGAATTGAATTGCGTAAAAGTAGACTCAATGTAAATTAATTTCGATTCTTTCTGGAGTTCTCACGGTCTCGCCTGTATAAGTATGGAGGTAATATCACTTAGTCATCGTCCGGTGTCTTCGACTCCCAAACAATCAAGGGTCACGGTGGGTGAGCTCACTGAGCAGTGAACCTTCGACCCGACAGGTTGGAGACTCAGGACCCGCCTCGCGCTAAAGGCTCATTTGTATGCATCAATGTCAGCCATTGATATTAACGTTGGAGTCGATAAAATCAAATTGCTGTATCATTATTTGATTCAAAAGTAATCTAGATTGTTTAATGTATCGAATGAAATATGACAGATTCCACTTATCTTTTGACTCAGCTTTTCACGAAATCTAAAACTTTTGATGTTCCTGTCATATTGTTTTACCTTACTTACTTTTAAGCGTTTTAAAGGTTGTTCTTACTTATTAGCTTTCAAATCTTACTTCTTTATTTGATTCTGTTCAATTAATTATTCGTGGAATTTGAAATACCAGGAATTGAAGCACATACCTATACTCGTATATGCGAGTTTTGAGTCTCCTTTGTCCAGAAACAAGTCAGTTGATTACTTTGGAAATGACCCGTCTGGTGCTACTTGATATCCCTGCGACTGGCAGTGAGTCACCGTGCTGCTGATAATGTTTAATGTATTCGACAGGTCCTTAAATTTAATCCTTACTGTAGATGGTGAAAGGGTGTTTTTAAAGTTAATTACGGTTTACTTTGATCTCTTATTAAACTTTTCCTATGCAATATTTATGTAAATATTAATCCTAAACCTGAATAGTTTAAGCATAGAGCCCACTGTTAGTATAATAAATGATATGATTTGAATCCGTATGTATGATGAACTATGACTCGGTACATAATGTGCGGGGAGCTTTTAACCCGTCCACCGCAGTGCGCCGTTTTGTCCCGCTCGTTCTAATTAGCGACTTCTCACGGCCCGCGGTTTATTAAACCTCGTGCATATTAAACTTGGGATTTTTCCCATTATTAAAATGTACGGTTTTGTCGAACTCTAGAACAGCTACGAGTAAGGCCCAGAACAGACGGTGAAACGCAACTGCAACGAAACTGCAACTTTCTGATGATTCTGATGAATGAAACTGAAACTGAAAGTTTCAAACTGGTCGCGTTATGTGTGGTCTCTCAACGGACGCTATCGCAGAAACTTAGATGCAACTCAAAAGTAACTAGCAGTTGCAGTTTCGTTGCAGTTGCGTTTCACCGTCTGTTTTGGGCCTAAGTGCACGCGCTTGTCTTTTTAGACCGCTATCTATCGGGAAGCATTATGACAAGTTAATTACGCTTTTTAACTCAAATAATGATAATGTAACGTGGAAATGATGTAATTGTTTCATTAACTGCTCGCATAATGAGTTAATGTTGTTATATAAACTAATAGATACGAATAAAGAAAAGTAACGTAATTTGAAGATCCTAATACTGAGGAGAAAACAACTCGAGCATCATTAAAATGTTTTGTCTGTTGATTCCATCGTTTTATGTCATACCATGTTTGTGTACCAATCGATCAACATGGAAAGCATTGGGGGCAGTAGACGTCCTGTGGCTGAAATGATGATGTTTGTATAGGGTTCTTCTTGTATTACAAACTATTAAAATAAAAATTTAACCCTTTTCAGGTTGGTGGTGTCCCAAAACCAGAGGGCGCTGCACATAGTGTTCCCGCACCACTTCCTCGACTCGCCGGAGTGGTTCGGGGTCTCCACAGACGAGTATTTCCAAGTAAGGCCTTAGTTCTTTGAAGAAACACTTAAAGTTAACAAAAATTTTTCTACGTTAAGATGCAACCTTATTTAGCATATCAGATGCATATTATGGCGGTTTGTTAAGTCTAACTGTAGGGATTTTTGACTTCCTGTACTTTACGAGACTTTTTCCACCTCGTGTTCCACTGCAACTGCTCCGGAGTTAGGATCGAAGGCCTTAATGAACTTACCGATAAAGCATAAAGTTTTAGATATTCAGTTCAGTGAGCTCTTCTGTGATTGAAGATTTCGGCTGAAGCTCGCTTCCACCTTCGCTTCGGCGACAAAATAACTCTGGCCGACTACTGGCTAGGACAAGCCAGAGATGAGAGTTATGCTAAAGCGAAGAGTGGGACATTTAATTTGATTGTCCCGAAGCAGTGGTAGGGTTAATACAGGGACGTGTAAAAGTGCTTTTTAAAAGCCTATTTGCAAACATGAATGAGTTTTATGAGTGGGATCTAAACCCATCCGGGAAAAGTAATTAGTGCTGCTGTGCCCGTAACATTTCTAAGAACAGGAATAAATCCCAACCTTGAAAATTTTCACGGGAATAGTACTTCCCTATACTTACTGTAAGTCACCCGTTTTATTAAGCCACTCCCAGCGGGTGGGGTAAAATCATTTTCGTTTATTAATTAAAAGCAGTCTTGACTGCGCAAACAAGTTTGTCTATTACTCTAATACAGTATTTTTCAACCTGTGGGTGGCGATGGGGGGTCGCGAAGCCTCTATAGGGGGGTCGCGAGAGGTCGTAAAAACTACATCAGTAAAAAAAAAATCTTATAAAGACACGTTAATCCGAAATCTAATTATGCAAATTTTGTATTGATTGAAGTATTCGGTCCCTACAAACATCTTTGTAACATTATAAAATGCATGAAAAAAAAGCGAACGGTCGGGGGGTCGCCAAAAATTTTTTCATACTAGGGGTCGTGTCATGAAAAAGGTTGAAAAACACTGCTCTAATGGTTTACTACTAACAATCGATTATAATGGAAATGGCATGCACTGAAACAGACAAACAGTATTTAGTAATATTTAGTAGGTAGCTGTGGTGATAAATTTAGAAGACTCACTGTAGTTTAGATTTATTGGTGTTTTGATAATGAGACACGAGATACGCTTGTTGTTTGTTAATATTGTATGAACGTAATTATCTTTACCAATATTTATAAATGTGAATATCTGTCTGTTTATTATGTTGTCACGTCTAAACTTATCTTCACCAATACATTATTATTATGAATGTGAAAATCTATTTCTCTATTATGTATTGTCTATTATGTTATTACGCTTAAACGATGGATGAATTTTACGGAGAGTCCATTTAAGTTAGAGTCTCTCTATAAATAACGGTTGGTTATAGATAAAAATAGTACTTACTGTAGTTAAAAAATAAAGAATTTCATTGTTTCTGAAAAATTATAACAACACGATTATGTTTGTTTATAACGCTTTTAAATTGATAGTAACCTATCTCTACATCTAGAGTCTAGCTATACAGGGTGTCCCAAAAACAATGGATAACCCTGTAACCATCGATAGGCCTCGCCATGGTCTCCCTAACGTCCAATTTTGACCCCAGTAAAAATATCACCGTTTTCAAGATTTTTAAGTTTTTGTGCATTTTTAGAAAATTGCCACCTGCGATTACTTTTTCTCATGCCATTTCTACAAATGAGGACACTTTTCAATCTAGTTTTTTTCCTTATCACAAGGGATAGTTGGGCTATCAAAAGAAAAGATTAAAGTTCAACAAACTAGTTTAAAAGTATGAAAATTTTAAGAAATTGCAGAGAAGAATGAAAAATTTATTCATTGTCCTGCACTTTTGATCAGCCGTCGTGTAAAAAAAATGTAGGAAGACCATCGTGCCCATTACCTTAAAAACTTCTTTGGTTAATTGAGATTCTAAAAAGGTATCACAAGCCTATGTATTCTGTATTATTTTTATCTTATGGCTACTTGAATAGCAACTAGTATGAAAACTGCAGAAATGAGTTTTTCTCGTAATAGTTAAACTAGAACTGCATAGTGGCTTTAAATACAAATGGATAATTTTTAGCGTAGGAATTTTAATAAAGCAATATTTTATCATCATCATCATCATCAATTCAGCCATAGGACATCCACTGCTGAACATAGGCCTGTACCCCAATGATTTTCATAATGACCGCTTGGTAGCGGCCTGCATCCAGCACCTTCCTGCTTACCTTTATGAGGTCGTCGGTCCACTTTGTAGGTAGACGTCCTACGATGCGCTTTCCGGTACGTAGCCTACACTTGAACCCTGTTGCCCCATTGGCCGTCCGTTCTGAGTTTTTGTGATTACTTAATTTTTGTTTTAAACCTTATAAATGTGCCTATAGACAGATACTACCGTGATAATACACGGCTCGGAAACGTGGATTTTTTGGACAGCGTGCTATGGAAGGGGCTATGCTCGGGTTTCTTCACGAAACCGTATCAGAATTTAGGAGATCCGTAAACGAACTAAAGTCGCTGACATAGCTCGACGGATCAGCAAGCTGAAGTGGCAATGGGCAGGGCACAGTAGGTTGCAGAACTGAGGCAGCAGGGTTAAAGTGGAGGCTACGTACCGGAAAGCGCATCGTAGGACGTCCACCTACAAAGTGGACCGACGACCTCATAAAGGTAAGCAGGAAGGTGCTGGATGCAGGCCGCTACCAAGCGGTCATTATGAAAATCATTGGGGTACAGGCCTATGTTCAGCAGTGGACGTCCTATGGCTGAAATGATGATGATGATGATGATAAAATATTGCTTTATTAAAATTCCTACGCTAAAAATTATCCATTTGTATTTAATGCCACTATGCAGTCCTAGTTTAACTATTACGAGAAAAACTCATTTTTGCAGTTTTCATACTAGTTGCTATTCAAGTAGCCATAAGATAAAAATAATACAGAATACATAGGCTTGTGATACCTTTTTAGAATCTCAATTAACCAAGGAAGTTTTTAAGGTAATGGGCACGATGGTCTTCCTACATTTTTTTTACACGACGGCTGATCAAAAGTGCAAGACAATGAATTAATTTTTCCTTCTTCTCTGCAATTTCTTAAAATTTTCATACTTTTAAACTAGTTTGTTGAACTTTAATCTTTTCTTTTGATAGCCCAACTATCCCTTGTGATAAGGAAAAAAACTAGATTGAAAAGTATCCTCATTTGTAGAAATGGCATGAGAAAAAGTAATCGCAGGTGGCAATTTTCTAAAAATGCACAAAAACTTAAAAATCTTGAAAACGGTGATATTTTTACTGGGGTCAAAATTGGACGTTAGGGAGACCATGGCGAGGCCTATCGATGGTTACAGGGTTATCCATTGTTTTTGGGACACCCTGTATAAACCCTAGATCTATGTAGCTATGTACAAGTCGCGGGCATTAGCTAGATTTAAATGATTTAAAACATAATTTTATGCAGGTATATCAAAATGTGGTAACACCCATTTCATAACAATTATTAATGCACGTATAATACATTCGCTATAATTTCATTAATTATTCGTATAATCAGTGTGTTCTCGACATTGCTTTAATTTAATTGTTATACAAACATTATTGTTATAGCCTGACCAGGAACATAAAAACCCTCGCCATTTTGCGGAAAACTAATGGTACTAATTTCTTTTAATGGCAACAGTAACTGAAAACTTCATTGACATGTCACCTTGCATGTCAGTCTATTGCTGTCAAAGTGTAAACAAACTTTATTTTAAATGTGCGCAATTGATTTTGTGAATTAAATTGCTAAAATCTTTTTATAGTCGTGAAAGAAAAGTGGTTCACAATGTGTTAAAGTATTTGTCGAAGAGAAATACTAATGGTTCGGACAATATTTTCATTGAATAATGTTTCCGACAAAGGTTGTCAAATTGACTGTCATGTTTATCGTATAGTACAGTCCACTATGAAAATTAGCTGTGGTTTGTTTCAACTATACCTATTTTAAAATTTTCTGTCACTGTCTAAGTGTTGAATTTTATGGAATTGGGAAAGAAGTACCGAGTTTGAAGCGTTCATGACCAAACATTGCAGTTGAATATTCAAGTTCTGAATTTGATTTTTGATGAATAATAAAATAAATCCTACTAGCTCGATTGATGGTTTCATTTAATTTATTTAAACCAGGTTACCTATAATAATATTTTTTGGTTAATTTATGAAAATATCAAATTAGCCCGTAATCCTGAATCCTGATACATAAAGTTAGCCTATTAATTTAACACAGGTACGACTGTACTCAGTGTTGCACTATCAAATGCGATTGACACGCCTCTATGCCAGGGTTTTTATGTTCCTGGTCAGGCTATCGGCTATACACAACAATTATAATTTCGCTCTTACATCTAGCAACAATTTATTTCAAAATAGTTTTGTCGGGTATAAAACGCCACCTATCAGTCTTTATAAGCAAACCTACTTGTTTGTCATAAACGTCAATACCGTCATTGATTTCCCCAGCGTTATCAAGAGATGGCGCTGAACGTTTCTGACTCGCGATATCAGAGTATTTTTTCCGGACTTGACTACCTTGAAGACCGCCTGGTAAAGTTGCTAAATCCTCTATTGTCTTAGAGTATTTTTGGAGTGACAAACTGAGAAGATTCCTTCTCTACTTTGTTACTAAGAAAGAATAAAAGAAATAGAAGAACAAGAATCCAATAAAGTAAGGGTTACTCATGAGATTGCCCACGCGCATACCTAGATTCTTTTAATAAATAAATAAATATCCTTGGACATTTTTACACTGCGCTTCTACTAGTCCCAAACTAAGCAAAGCTTGTACTATGGGTACTAGACAACGGATATAAACATACTTAAATACTTTTTTTGTTGTAAATACATACTTATTATACTTAGAAAATACCCAGTCCAATACAAACAAGTATGTTCATGCACATAAATGTTTGTACTGTGCAGGAATCGAACCCGCAACCTCTGGAATAGTAGTCCGTTTCGAACCACTACACCAAACGGCCGACAAACTTTTGACTTTTGAGTCTTGTTTATGTCACATTTAAGCTATTAGTGGATGTTTTCATTAATTTCATAATAAATCAACATAACCCTCTTTCTGGTACAGTCGGGTAAAAACGGCCATTACGACATAGACAATTTTGTATCAAGTTGCTTCCACTTGATACACTCATCTCGTGCTAAAATGTTAATCCCAGATCAACAACATTTGCCATGCTCACGCGCACGTGGGCCGCGTTATGCATTATGATTTAATGCCACACTTTCACTGGCGTCTTTGGCCACAAGGCGTGGGATGCATTCGTATGTAACGAGGTTGAAATTTGTTGTTAGTACTTCCTGATGCTCATGGGTTTGTTTATGAAGCTGTCCCGAAGGCCTGATGAATGGAGTTATTCTTGTTTACTCGCTCCAACCATGTTATATTTAAACACGGCGCTGCACTGTATCAACAGTAACTTTCTTCTTCTTAGTCGTTTGGCTCATGGCAGAGCTGTCGTGGTATAGTAACTTTACCAAAAGTAAATGGAGAATTTAGGCTACACTTGAGGAAGCATGTTCATCCCTTAGTCGCCTGTTACAACATGCACATAAAAAGTGGGGGTCCTATTCTACTCTGTCGGAACCATGGCTTATTAAAATTTCTGATATTCAGTCGTACCATGTCGCAAATCTTTAAAGAATATCCTGCTATTTCAACTAATTTGAGAGACGATAAGTTGCTCATTCGGTTAGCTTGCCATGCTAATCTTAGTTCTCTGATATTCACATACAGGCTGATGTTTCCAGGTGTCAATAATGGCGATGGAAGAGTCCCGGGTGCTGGTGTGGCACCGCGACAAGCTGAAGCTGTCCATCATGTCGGACGCCTTCCTGCAGGCCGTCTTCGACCACATACTGGGCAGGGACGTGGTGCATAAGCTCATGCAGGTACGACCATATTGTATACAGGCAAGAGTTTCGATGTTTCTTTACGAGATCGAATCAGAAATGAGGAGATCCGAAGCAATTAAAGTCGCTGACATCGCCCGACGGATTAGCAAGCTGAAGTGGCAATGGGCAGGGCACACAGTACGCAGAATTGACAGCCGATGAAGCAGCATGGTTCTGGAGTGGAGGCCATGTACCGGCAAGCGCGGTGTAGGATGTCCAACCACAAGGTGGACAGACAACCTCATAAAGGTAGTACGAAGTCAGGGACCAGGCCCCCCTGAAAATTGCCCTAGATACTACAATGTATCGCAGCCGAGGGCGAGGTTTCAATCTCCGTACAAAACGATGCACACGTTTTTTAATTTATCTTATTTAATTTATTCAGATTCTTAGAGCCAACGATGGTCCTATATGTACAGATCCCCCTTCCTTAGGGTCTAGACGTACGTAAGGGTGCCTACAAATCAAGGCGTGAGAAGTCAAGAATTTCTAGAAGCGCAGTTACAGCGCCTATATCGTGATATACGCATAGGCAAAGGCAAAGCCTCTTTGAAAGTGCTCTAAGTGGAAAATTAAGGAAAGATATTTAATACTAGCTTTCCGCCCGCGGCTTCGCCCGCGTGGAATTTTGTCTGTCACAGAAAAACTTTATCGCGCGCGGCCCTGTTTCAAAAACCGGGATAAAAACTATCAGGGTGTCCACATTCTGGAAAGTCAGGGAAAGTCAGGGAAAAGTCAGGGAAGCTCATAGCAGTCAGGGAAAGTCAGTGAAATAGAGGGGTCACCTGGAAAGTCAGGGAAAAATTGAGATTTTGTCTACTAAAACACTGTTTGTCTCCCGAAATTTCCCAGTGTTTGTAAAATGAGGGATTTAATTAATTTATGCTCTAGAAAGACCTTTGATCTTGCTTGACTATCGAAGCATTTTTTTCTTCAGGTTTGGAGTGATCTACATTATGACTTTGTTATTAGTCATAATTATATTACTCCTTTTTAGTTTTTATCTAATGAAGTGGATTGATCTAAATTATGACATAATTTTGTTCATAATTAGATTACTTTCATATAGTTCTTTTTTCAGGATTAGAGTGATCTATGATATGATTTTTTTTGTCATAACTAAATTACTCCTTTTTGTTTTAATAGTTGTACTTTTTTTGTTTCAGTAAAATGATATAGGTAATAATATTTTCTATTGTCGATGTGAAAGTGCAACTTATAACTTATGTTTATTTATATTTTTTTATAATTATTTATTGATTTGATTATTGAGTGCAGACTAGTGAGCAGTTCACTGTGAGTGCTATTAATACAGGGTGGAAACGATAAGTGATCTCATTCGATTATTTCTAAACTACACAAGATATCGAAAAACTGCTTACTGATCTTGAAAGTGCTTCACGAGCTCTTTCAAACGATATCAGTAATAGGTTACAGAATTAACTGGATCTATCCGAAAAGTCAACGTGTCCCAAAATTCAAGGATAAGCCGGCGCCGCAGGATGGACATAGTCATGACTAAAATATTTTGATTAACTTTTGTGTAAAAACTGCAAGGATTCTGGGGGTTTTAAGAGTTGGGGTGAACAGCAGCACTACTTAAGTTGCCGATATAAACAGAAAACCAGGAATAATTGAAAAATTGTGGTCGTGGTAATGTAAAATATCATAAGGGGTGTCAATTTTCGTTGAATTTCATAATTTATTGTGTAAGTTAAAAAATAATTGAGATAGATTTTTTCCTTATTTTTCCTAAAGTAGTCATGACTATGTCCATCCTGTGGCGTCGGCTTATCCTTGAATTTTGGGACACGTTGTATACATAGTTGGTCAGGGAATTTTGAAAAAATTGTCAGGGAAAGTCAGGGAAAAGTCAGGGAATTTTTTCGAACATTTGCAGTGGACACCCTGACTATCCTATGTCCTTTCCCGGGACTGAAACTATCTCTATGCCAAAGGATAGTGCCAGGGTCTGGACCAAGTGCTGCCCAGAATCAACCCGTAATGCATTTTGTTCCTCAGACCAATACTAATGTGTAAACCGAAGCGCACTGCAATCTATCCCTGGAGTTAAGAGAAAAAAAGAGTTTTGTTTTGAAATATTTACATACAAAATATCATCGATGTATACGTACTACGCATAAGATTTCGCGATTTTGGCATTAAATAATACTCGCTTTGTTAAACTTAACCATACTGCATCCGTACACCTTACTTTAGTGCGACTTACACATTCTTTATGAGCGATCTAGCGCTGTTGCAATAGTTTGGTTACTTGACAGAAATCATTATTTCCAAAATGAATCAAGAATATTAGTATAGATTAGTATAGATTCTTGCCGTATCGTTCCAGGTGAGCGAGACAATGGCGGTCAGCAACGGGCACTTACCCAACAGTTACGAGGAGGGTGAGGACAAACCCATGCTAGTCGTGAAAAAGGCTGGCGACGGGCCCGGGATCACCGCTCTGCTGAATAGACAGCTGCAAGGTATGGAGGGTTGTGGAGGGGAGGGGAGGTCTGGTTTGAGGGGGGGTAGTCTGGTTGTTACGGTGGAACACTAGAGGTAGATAAATACTTTTTATACACCAACAGAGATGACAAATAGAAGAATGATACGATTTGGGCAACTTTGACTTCTTCTTGTCGTGTCGACAACAAACCTACACAGTGTCAGCCCAAAACTCCGCCACAAGAGTGGCGTTGTTCGGGCACTCAGGGCACGACATCAAGTGCTTCATCGACTGGGGACTTTGACTTTTCCCAAACAGGGTGTTTTCATTTGACGAGAATATTACATTAAGTTAAATACCATTCGTTTTGGCCATTCAGGAAGAAACCGACCCGATATTTTGGCCAGGGCTAGATAATATTTTTGGGACCTCTATTATATGTACTCCGAAAAGAGCCTACATACTAATAAAAAGTTTAAATTTTTATCACACTCACAAATGGCAGATTATCCGAATCTAAAAAAAAATATGACTTTCTTTGAAACCAGCAAATAGGTCCTTTGACCCAGAAGTTGCTAATTTAATTTGGAAACTAAAAACTGAATGACGCATGATTATTGTGACTTTTACTGCTACCTACAAAACTGACTGGAACACTTCTTAGTCCTATCGACTCCTAACAACAGACTATCCATACCAACCTCAAAACAGATGTCCATTATTAGCCGTAGTTAATCTTGAACTTAATTTGTGCATGGATGTTAGAATGCCAGATATTCAGAAAGCTAACCATTGAGGTGTATTCACACTTGTGACGTGCGCGGTGCGTGCGACTTTTATACGGCACAATGCACCATCCTGGACTGCATCTCACTTAACATCAGGTGCGATTACGGTAAAACACCTGCCTTGTTCTGCATAAAAAAAATTGATAAAGAAAGATGGATACCTTATTACTTCTCTTCTAATTGATACGATTTTGCAATAAAATTGTTTAGTGCAATTTGTTGTTATAAGACTACAAAGAGTTTTGGGTCTACGCTATGCGCAAGTTACGAATAAATGTGAATATACCTTTATTTTAAATTACATTTTATTAAGTTACAGGCTATTAATTCCAGTATTGCTTATTTCATTAAAATAAAATGTAGGCGTAGCTTTGAGCTATAATAAAATGCTACGTCTAACTTTGAAAGTATAAATTTAACTTCATAGATTCACAATTTAAACTTATTGGTATTTGGATGTCGTCTCGTTTTATAATATTTCAATGTTTTTCATACTTCAGGATGTCTGCTTATTTATTTCTATAGTTTTTCTTTTCTTTTCTTTTCATAATCAAATTAAAGATTAGACTTTAAATCATTTCTTAGATGCTTTCAGATCGTAACATTATGCTTTTTTATGTACAAATAATATTTTTTTGTTATTTCTTAGTAAAGTAACGCTAGTTTTCAATAATTATTGTATACCTAGTTTAAATTAATCAGGTACATTTTAGATTTAGCAGACATGCTCAAGTATAATATTCGATGTTACGCTATGTTGTTAGAGTACAATCCTTTTGTTAGTAATCGTAAGTTTTTAAAACTATGTGAAATTATTTTCAAAAGGAAAAACGCAACAAATACGATTACGAATAAACGGATTGTAGAATAAAGGGCTGTATACACGTGAAGACAAAAATATTCAAAACCTTTTTTGACTAAACTTCCCTTATCTTCGATTAAAATATTTTTCTCTTTAGATATTTATGGAATGAAGTAACGGAATTTTAGTCAGAATTCCTTCGGTTTCTCAAACTTTGATCCTATTAATGGCGGAAAGTTCTAGATAAAATTCAGTCAGTGAGGAGTAACCATATTCTTACAAAAACAAAGTTTTATAATTAATATTCCCATCGGACACTATGAAACTGCCCGAATACGATCGACGTTTTAGAAACCTAACTGTTCTTGTGAATGAGCAACATTTTTATATTTTATTAATTTTACCCCCTTTCTAATAAAGGTTACACGCGCGTTGAGCACTAGTTAAAAGTAATGTTTGCCATTTTAACGCAGTTTTCAACATTCATGTAACTTTATATTCGTAGGATCTTTTTTGCTCATAATTTATTAAGCGAACTTAATGCCATAAGGCTTGTTAAATGTGTTCCTGCACTATTGTGGAGCATGTTTGGTTTTAAAAATGTTGCTCATTCACAAAACGTAACATCAGTGTCGCCCGGCTTGTGTCGTGTCGTGTGTACCGCCCGTAACGTGTTGTCGTGCGCAGGCGAGCACGCGCCACTGCTGCGACCTGCCACCGCGCACCTCCCAGCCTGAAGACTACATGTTACATGTTACCCCTAACACCCCCTTAAACCCCCTCCAAATTCCTATAAACCCCCCTTATCAAACCCTCTTAGGCCCAGAACAGACGGTGAAACGAAACTGCAACTGCTAGTTACTTTTGTGTTGCATCTAAGTTTCGTTAAGCGTCCGTTGAGAGACCACACATGACGCGACCAGTTTGAAACTTTCAGTTTCATTCATCAAAATCATCACAAAGTTGCAGTTTCGTTGCAGTTGCGTTTCACCGTCTGTTCTGGGCCTTACTGTTACCCTAACCCTACAAGCCAAGCAGATCCTAAACAGTCCGTACTCCCGCGATCAAACCCATGCTGACATTCTAGTGAATACTGGCGAGAAATAAAATCAAGTCCTGTAAAAACTTTTTAATTGAAAAAAAAATAGTCTCACTTTGTAAAAAGTTTTTAGTTGAAAATAAAAAAAAAATTAAAAACAATGATTTACGACTAACTGGTAATTTGTTGTTGCTAAAAGCAAAAGCCATAAAAATACTGACAGAAACAAAAATGATGAAAAGAAATTGACAGTCCTTTTTTTCTCACCAGTATGTTCCAGGTTTCTCTAATGCCGTTCAAATTAATGGGGCTATTGTGATTGCCCCGTTTATTGGTGACAGATTTATTTAACCAATAGATTAAATATTAAGTTATCTAGCCTTATTGATTCGATCAGTGTTTGAGAAAACCACAATTAATTCCCATTTGTGTGTAAATACCACAAAATAAATAAAAAGCGCAATGTGATATTTTTAATAAATATTTTTGAGGAAAATGTTGATGGCACCATTTTCCTATTTAAAAAATTTGAATGTTTTATTTTATACGTAACTTTTATTGTCTTTTATTTTCACTGCCAATTGAAGACCTTTTTTTTAAAGCAATGTTTGTGGTATTTTCACTAAAATTAGAATACATATAAGTATATAAAATATATTTAACCGAAACCTAATAATCCGACCCGTAGATATATAATTATGGTGTTCTGTGTGACATATCACTAATAACGATAAATATTAAACATATTTTTTATATTATCTTGATGTATTTTGACCACATTTCTAAATAACATTAGAATTTTTCAACGAATTTAAAGATTTTAGTGCGCTTGTGCTTTAAATATTTACTCACTTTAAAGTTGTTCTTGTAACTTTTTGATGTAGTTTCTATTTCATATCTAGTATTTTTTATCCCCTTTCATTACTAAAATATACATTCATTTATAAGTGTTGAATATTACTTAGTATCCATGACACTATTTTACTAAATAATTTACCTTATGTTCACATCTTTAACTAGAATATTTTGAATGTAGCCTAGCAAGAAAGCCTGTCAACGGATGTTTTCTAACACCGATAGATGTTGTTAAAATGACGTTTAGTGTCACAGTGACATAAAATCCTTGACAGGTTTTAGCTTGCCAGTTGTATTTTAACGTCCTAGTCTATTTTGTGCTGATATCATAATATTTATGTAATAACACTTATATGAATACATAGCGAAGGTGGATAGATACTAGTAATAGTTTTAGAATTTCTCAAAAAAAATGTACGTAACGAAACGGTAGTAACGAAATAGTAAGGCCATAAGGCTTGTTATACATTGGCGAAATATTGTGAATGCTCTTCATTTATTCAATTCGAAATATTTGTAAGTAGGTATGCACCCAAATACGGGGTAATATTAAGGGGTTAGAAATAAAATAAGTTAGTAATCATTCATACTATTTTAATAAAATTATTTTTGTTTCATCATGTTTATCCATTTTGAGTCGTTCTCTGTAAGCTTTTTGCTTTTCGGCATTGGTTTTTGGCGGCATTCCTAAAAAAACAAAAGAAGTAATCACATAAAAACGTAATCTAAATGATTTGATAATTTTTTGCTGGTGGCACTTCTGTAAAGCAGATAGTACCTATCCAATCCTTTTGTTATTAACGCTCTATATTTTTTGAAATAAATTAAGTAGTGAATATTACTATGCTTAGTCAGGTAATAACAGTATACACTCAGCATTATGTTGTACTTTTTCGTAACGTAACGAAATTCGTAAAAAACGTAACGAAATATTAGACAAAATGAGATCAGAAACAAGTATTTTTTTGATAAAATTTGTTACAGCAAATATAAAAGCTTACTAAATGTTCGTACCACACGTATTACAAAAAATGGTTAAATGAAGACTTACCGTTCTATATAAAATCGCTGATTTTACTGCCTGTTACGAAAAAGTAATCCCACAAAACACACACGTTTTCACTAATTTTCGCGATAGATGTTATGGCGGAGACGTCAGGCCAACAGCCATTCAGAGTGCAGCTATTGTTGTCCGTGTAAAATAAATACGGAATTGTTCAGAAACCATGGGAAAGTAGAAATAAATCGTAACTAAAGAGTAAATAACGAAATAGTAAATGAGAGCGACTCATTTTGTTTTTTTGCTTTAAATTGCCAATTCATTATGACACCCCATAGAAAATCAATTTGATACAGAAACTGCGATTACTGTAGAACGATAATACAAAGAAATTTACAATAATTAAGTTACGTATCGCATTTTATGAAACAAAAATACATGAAAAAGCTAGGGTGGCAAACAGGTTTTTGTATGAAAGGTAAAAAAGGACTATTTTTAAAATATCTAAATATTTGGTAATAAGTAGGATTATAGCTATAATTCTTCGTTATCTTAAAGATTAATATTCATCCTTCAAAATTGTGTGTGTGTTTTTTTTGTGTGATGATTTATAAATATAAAACTTTATAACTGTTTCAAAGCACACTTTTTTTTTCAAAATGTACACTTTTTTTGAGAAATACTCTTATACACTTTTAGAAACCCCTACCATTTATAAATCAGTCTGTTTTTTAATGTATTAGTTAGATATAACTAACTTAAAAAGTACATAAAAATTTGATCACAACGAATTTATAGAATATAAATTTTATGATGCACCTTTTTTATCTCTAACTAGCTGACCCGGCGAACTTCGTACCGCCTTAGCGTAGAGATTTTCTTAATATTTTTTTCCGTAAGAACCATCCTTGGACTTCCACAAACATTTAAAAAAAAGAATTATCGAAATCGGTTCAGCCGTTCACACGTGATGCCGTGACAACGCGAAACGGGTTTCATTTTTATATATATAGATAAAAATAAACGTGTCTATTCGTCTTGCTTTTGTCGTGTGCTTTAATGTATAGTTTGTTACCTTTAATTTTAATTAGTGTACGTAGAATTATGAGCTTTATTACATTTAATTACGATCCTTAGTCCATCCCTGATCCAAATTCCTAACGCATGTTTGGAAGATCGACAGTCGAAAGGTAATTTTTTGTTTATTTGTTTTATTTTTCACCCATTCGCACCCGGTTTTATTTTTTATAAATGTTTTGCTGGGTAAAGGCATAGTTTTTCACAAAATGAATTTATTTTTGACACATTTGTTATTATACATTGTAATTGTGTATACGAAAAATGTGTGAAATATTGTAGTTGCAATAATTCAAGTATGAAAAGACTATGCCTTCTGCCTCTTTAATCGTTGTAATTAACATTGGTGTGGGGTGTCAAAATTTCTTGTCAGTAAATGTTTTGTGTTGCCAGCTTACTCACTCTTAATAAATAGCAATCCCTTTGGAATAACATTGCACAAGCTTGAAACACACACAAATTATTTGCGCACTAAAATAATATAACTTCGCAAATTGAGTTATTGAATACTGCAAATAATTTTATTAACTAACGCAAAAGCTTGTGTGGTGTGTGGTCACAAAACATTTTTAAATTCTTTAAAAATCCAATTTTATTAATGTAAAATTTTCAAAATGTGTTTTTAGGTTATTATACAGGGTGTTAGGTAAATGGGTATATGAGCCGACACTAGCCCATGTTAATATGGTCATATAAATGGTATGGTGAATTCAGAATTTTGATTAATTTTCGTACAATATAAATTTTATTAAATCCGATTTGTATGAAACTTAAAATAATTAAAATGAAGATATCAATTTTCTGACTTCACCATACCATTTATATGATCATGTTAACATAGGCTAGTGTCGGCTCATATACCCATTTACCTAACACCCTGTATACGGCCACAGAACCGTATCTGAATGTCACTTGTAACCACAGCGACAGACCCAAACGCGTGGCGCCTGGGCCGAATTGAGGAGGCCGACCACGAGACGCCGGTCTGAGGTCGCGCGTTGCACGTCGCCGTCTCGCGTCCGCGTCGCTAGCGTGCTACGTGCCGCTAGCGTTTGGTGACGTGCCGCTAACGTTTGGTGACGTGCCGCTAACGCGTGCTGACGGAACGCTAGCGTATGGCGATGGTGACGTGCCGCTAGCGTACGGCAACGTGCCTCTAGTATTCGGTGACGTATTAGTGTTCTACGGAGCATGCGCATTAACGGAGTGCTCAAAATAGTGACGTGACAGTGCTCAGTCAAATTATTGACATTGGTTTGTCAGTGACTGTGGTGACATTTGTGGGTTAGCTGAAGATTCGCGCTACAAGTTAAGTCAGTGCGCCTTTGACTGACGATTGAGGCAGCCTATTGAACGCTAAATAATATTTATGTATAAGTCGCCATGGACAGTATGGATTTAGTCTTGGGAATTGATTTTTCAAAGAAAGTTTGTTGACAGATTTTGTTACTAAAGTTGATTGAATTTGTGTAATTGCTGGTCAATTTGTAGGTTATTTTTTGTTATGGAAATTTAATTGTGATGCCAGGTTAAATAAATTTATTAAGTCTGTGATTATTTCGTTTCCAATGAAGAGAAGTTGAAAATATTTTTGGTTTTCTAAACTGGCAACTATCTATTGCTGATGTATTGTTGATTTTCAAGTCTTTAAGATTACTCAACTATTAAAAATTGTAAGTATTTATAACATTTAGTACAGTCATCTGAAGTAAACAATGGATAAAATTATCATTGAATTATAAAAAAATGGCCTGACTGAAGAAATATATTTCCTGAAGATAGTTACTAATAAAAAATCAAGTTTGTTTTTCTTATTCTGCTACTTCTTCAGGCCAATCCATTTTTTTAAAAGGAACCATTATATGATTGAATGTATAAAGTCTGATGTATAAAATACCTACTGATGTTAGCTATATTCAGAGTTTGAATCATATTGATCTGTAAAGAAGAGTGTTGCGTCGAAAAGACTAGAAACATATTTTGTGTATACTATTTATGTAGATAGATATTATATTAAATAAAAATTCAAACGATAGATCGGGTATAGCAAATAAAAAGATAATGTACAGTGTCTAAGATGGAAGGATATTATTGTAATTGGATGTTGTGTGTAAATAATTGTAGGAGATTGATTCTATATGACTGGGCTCGGTTCTGAGTTGGATACTATCTCTAAAATAACATATCTTTGTATTATTTCTGAGGTGAATGAAAAATAATAATAAGATGAACACATTTATTTTATAGTTTCTATTGTGGGTTTGTGGCAGAAAAAGTCGCGCAGTGATTTTAGTTAACATTTTTATCCATTCGCTTAGGAAGGAAGAATAATAATTACCTACTAACGAATAAGAATCTTAGAGATAGAACAACTCGGAATTAAGCCCAATGCGTACTTAAGAACCCGTTAAGTAATACTCACCGAATTAACAAAAAGTTGAGAAAATTTTATGATACAGCGGATTCACAGACATTTAAAAAGATACTGAAAATTATTGAAATAATAATGAAATAAGAAATATTTGCTTAAGTTTTGCACTTGTCATTGCAGTGAGTCTTAAGTTTCCTTTCAGTGTAAAATAAGAAAACAATTCTAAAAATTCGATTTGTATATATCTGAATAATATTTAAACTGGAATCTAGACTAACCGATTTCATAGCCGACTGTACCTGTTTGTGCCTAGCATGGAATCTGGAAAAAAGCATAAAAATATTAAAATTAGATACAATAGCCAATAACTTTGTGCATAATGTAAAATTTCATTACATATTAGAGGTACGATTGGTGGTAATAAATAATTCAGCATGCAATAACATTATTTAGTTTTGGGTCTGTTCTTTTTATCATGAAATGTAGATTAACACTAGTATGACTAGTTATAACTTTTATAAAGAACCCAAAATTTTTATTTTGTTATTGCTTGATGTTTAAAATAGAAGAACCTAATTAAGTTTGCATCACTAAAGTTCAAAACAATATTGTTGTTACCAAATACCTACATCATGGAAAAATTCTTACCTATTTTTGAATAAACAAAAAGAAATAATTTCTGAATTAATTAAATATTTTTTCTTCTATATTCAAAATAACATTAAAAGTGATAAAATAATACATGTAATCTAAGTAATACAAATAATAACAATTTTGTACAAAAATATAGACCATAAATTCACAAATCAAAATGCAAACATGATGATGACGATTTTGGTAAATGATCTCTATTATTGAAAAGTAACAAATAGGTAATAATGAAAATACAAAATAAAATAATACGGGCCCCTAATAAGAATAATATTGATAATATGGGGTTACAAAACAACGTACCTATGCATGAATTTGTAAATACATAAAGGTGTTGTTTTCTAAGCGTGTTGGCTGAAAGTCGAATAAATTATCTTGACGAAGTTAATTTTCCTTCGGGCTGGCATTAATCAGTACAGAATCGAATAAAACTAATGTTGACGAATGATTAAGAAATGTGAATTGATTATCACGCTAAAACGAAAGTGCCGACCCGTTAGCGTCTCTACTTTGATTATGACGTAAACAAAAAAATGTTTGGTACTAAATACTGTAATAATATATTATTGTAACATTCCAAAAAATATTTATTTTGCAGCTATTCCAGAGCTAGATGTCAGAAATGCACTGCCAAATGCAAACTATAAATAATTTAACGTTGATTATGATTGTAAACGCTTATAAATGTATGTGTATGGAATTCGTCGTGGAGCGTGATATCATTTGTAAATAGGATCTCAAAATATTTTTTATTATGATAATAGTTCACAGCAATTGCATTTGTCTTAAGGTAGTATATTTTTGAATGTGTAAACTGTAGTTGGTAAGATACGCACAAATGTTGTAATTTATTGAGCGAGAAGGTATAGGTATTCACACTCTGTTGTGGCCTAAGTACTACCTATTTGTATGCGCACGCGTTGACCTGTGTTACTTATACCTCATCCCGTGACTTTGCCCCTTCCAGCTTCGAGCTACCATTAATCCGAAATTACCTATAGTCAGGGAAGCGCTGGACGCAGGCCGCTACCAATCGATCAACATGGAAAGCATTGGGGGAGGCCTATGTTCAGCAGTGGACGTCCTATGGCTGAAATGATGATGATGATGATGACCTATAGTCAATCGGTTTATAAGGGGATCGCAAGAGTGGCAGTCCGATGTTCTTGTCGCCTTTTGAATGGTCACGGGCCGTATTCAGTGAACCTCAGCATATCTTTTCGAAAATATTCATAAACAGATGCACTTGCGGAATTGCCTTTAGTCTAGTAAGAGAAAATGCATTTCCGTCCATGCCACACATTGCGAATATACCTAATCATTGATTATTTTGAAAGGAACAAAATATGGAAAGTAAGGTCAGGAGAGGAATCACAATCATTGACTTTTTGTTGTGTAATAACAGAGTAAATACAAATGAGTAGGTCATCTTCATAGAAACGCACCGAGCGCGGTTTGTATGTGAGCGCGCGCCAATACGTATGCGGCGCGCACGCACACTGCACACACATAAAATTCGGGGCAACTCACCGCAAATGTCAGTGTGGCGTTTCTATGAAGATGACCTACTCATTTGTATTTACTCTGGTAATAACTTATCACTTTCAGTATTATTTTAATTTTTTTGGCACAAACTGACATACAGAACTGAAGGACTAAAGCTATTTTGTAGCTACTTATAATAATAAGACAAATGTGATTGTGAACTATTGTGACTTGCCTTGTGTGATGTGGTGCACCAGGAGTGTTGTTTAGAATGCCTTAACAAATGCCATTTGTGATGAATGTAAATTATGAATGTATGATTAAAATAATTGAATCATTGTAGTACATGTTGAGAAAATAGTTATAAACAATTAAAGCAACAAATTCTGTAATAAAATGTTTTTTATTTCATATCTCTCTGTATTTACATAATATTGATAGGAAATAAATATAAATTCATTGCAACATTTGCTTATATGAAAATAAGAAGTAAATGTGTACAGATCTTATTTTAAAATAATTTATTCACAACATTTATTAGTGTTATCATGAGTCATCAAAGGTCATTCTACCAACTCCGTGGTTTTTGATGTAACGTCTGTACTGTTTGTATTTATTGTTTTCTGCCAAGGCTTTTTTGGCCTCTTCATCTTTGATTTGTTTCCATGCAACAAAATTGTCTTTTATCCACAACTCCTCTTCCAGGAATTCTTGTTTCTCTGTTTCATCAATAGCATTGAACTGATGCTGTCCCAACTTCATATACTTCCTAATTAAGTGGAGTTTCTCTTCCTCTCCATATGGTTGTTTCATAATCGTAAACTTCCAGAGCCATCTCAAATACCAGTAGATATAGAGAGCTATGGTGTACGGAAGAATGAGTATTTGGATCCAAAGGATATCCACTATCTCGGGCTTCGCATAAGCCCCTTTGATATCCATATTTTCCTCTATAACTCTTCTTATTATTCTATCTTGGTCTTCCTTCTGCTGTGCTTTGGTTTTCTTATTTTTTCTCGATTGGTTCTCATTTATTTCAGCCTTTGCAATCTCCATCGCTTTATTTCTATACTTTGGAACTGTCATGAAATATTTAATAGCAGTGTCGTATTTGGACCAGGCGCTGTAATACTGGATGACGGATATAATTGTGATGGTGACCGAGATTACTATTCGGACATCGACTTTAGGCGCCATCCGACGGCGATAGTACCGGTAGTAGTGAGCATAGTACTCCTGGGGATTATCCAACATGTAGTCATAGTCGGTCCTCTCTTCATCATCGCGGAGAATCTCATAAGCTGTCGCGATTTCTTTGAACTTTTCTTCAGCTACCTTTTTGGCTTCAGGATCTCGGTGCAAATCAGGATGGAACTTTTTGGCCAACTGCCTATAGGTTTTGCCAATTTCAGACTTTGTTGCTTCTCTTGTAAGCCCTAAGACTTCGTAACAGTTCTGTTTTCCACAATAAATACCTTCGAGTAGATGGTCGTGTGAAGATACGATTGTAGCTTGCCATATCACGGCAACAAGAATAAAACACTTAGGATAATACATTATAAACTATAGTTTATAACATGCTTAGTAAAATAAATGCAGTAAATAAATATTAGACTAGTAACGGACGTACTTAAATAAATAAAATTAATAAAAAATTGACCACGAATTGTTTTCCCATCCAAGACTTTTTGACAAATGTCTTGTCAACGTCATTTTAACAACGTCAGCTAATTTATGTTCAAAAACCATATCTGCACAAAGCAAAATAAAATAATCTCGTAATTAATTCAGTCATCATGCAAATGATTAAACCCGCTATTAGTATTTATTTATTTAGCCCGATATTATGTAATTAATTATTATGATAATACACTCTTAATAAATTGATTATCGATTTAGCAAGGGCAAGGGCACCTCTACTGCCTGTCACTGTCAGTCACGATGATGTTTTATCTGTAATCTGTCAGTCAGTAAATGTCAAAGTTAATTGGAGCGCGTGTTTGTTTTGTGAATTTTCGGTGAAAAAATAAGGAAAAACATCATGATGATGGTTGAAAACGTTTTAGATGCATTTACCGACGACGTGTTCCAGTTCCTGACAAAAAAACCTAAGTTAGCTAGGAATTTATTAGTGAAAAAACACTCGGAGAATCTTCAGACTCAAGGCGACTTCAGTTTTCCAGACACACTAAAATCATGGCACGAACATATTGATCTCCAGGGTTTACAAGTGGACGCAGATGGAGCCTTAATGAGCTGCATCGGGAAAGAAGCTACAGACCTAATTACCGAGTCGAAAAATTGGCGTTTGGAAGTCGCTAAAGTAACAAACGTCAACGGCCGAGTCCATATGTTTTTAGATCGGCTGAAATCGATTCCTGTTGGTCTAGCAGAGGCGTTGGAGTATAATAATGAATTAATAAAGCGAATTAGTGACTCTACGAACAAAGTTCGCTTGGATAGTGATAGTGACGACGATAGTTTGACTTCCTTGCGTCTGAAATATCTAACAAAATCAATAGATAACCTGTATTCAATACATGCTAAGGCAAGTGAAAGGACTGATAGTGTGAGTGTTATTGTGACATCCAAATCAACGTTCAAAAGTGGAACAGGACATGCAGTGTTGTGTGGTGTTGTGTTAAATGCAAAAACAGGAGCTAAAGAAGTCAATATAAAAGCTGATGATTTCATCAGGTAATAATTCCCTTATTTATACACTAGAAACTAATAATAATGTACTAGAACTTTTGACTTGTTTAGATGATGATTTTGAATTAAAAACAATTTATTGATTCCTATTTTTTCTCTGTTCCAGGATTCGTCAAGAAGAGATGTCTCTAATTGCCCAACACAAGTACGGAGTACGAGTATCGACAGACACAAAATGGAAAGAGTTCATCGCACATCTTGGGGAGTCTGCAGTGGTGTTTGAATTGCTGCAAAGCCGACCAAACAGTGCTGTTAAAATTAACTTCGATTGTTCCGCTGCAGGATCTAGTAAAGGTTAAGATTTTTTATAATTATTTTACTGGAAGGATGTAGTTGCAAGTCATTTAAGCAAGTCAGCAAGATGTGTGAGTTCACTATCATTGCAGCTTTGCAAATAGTATAAGTATTTCAACTTTTTTGGCTTAGTTTAATCAACAAAACATCTGTTTGCTTATTTCTGTCTGTTTGTTGTCTATTCATTGAGTGATTTTCAATTATTTTCTCTGTTTTAGGTGCTGCCTTCATACTGTACAACTGTGCCAGATTGGAAGCCATAATTAAAACATTTAATGAGAGGGTAGATGAAGGCGCATACCCTCCATTGCCAAGTTTTAAGGATATTGATTTTAACTTACTAGCACATGAGGTATGTAAACAAAACAAATTCAATTTGCAAAATCTTTTAAATTGTAACTAGAAATCAGTTTTAAATAAAAGTGCATGCATTGAAATCATATAAATGTAGCTTGCTTGATACATGTTAGTAATGTATATTAATAAAATTCAAGTTAATAAAAGAGTTACATCAAAATCCATTCAGCAATTGTAAAATTGTAACATATTATTTATAGTATCAAAGATGATACACAGTAAATGCTGTATAAAATCAAATTACATGATAATTTTGTTTACAATAATTCACTAGAAAATACCAAAAAGCTATGAGAGACAAAAATATTAATTCTCCTTTTTGTTTTCAGGATGAATGGTGTCTAATATTCAATTTCATAATGGGTTTCCCATTATTACTGAACAATTGTGTGGATATAAGTGAGACCACATGTGAGTTCAAGCCACACCTGCTGTGCAATTTCCTCTGCTGCATGGTTCGAGTGTTCAGCCAGTACTACAGGAAAGTCCGGATCCTCACTGTGAGTACATGCATGATCCCTATGAGTAGGAAATTACACTAAAAACTAGAAGTTGCAAGAAAATCATGAAAAAACTTCCCAAAAAAGGTTTTAAAACCTTTTTTTTTTAAATTAAATTTTCCTCTTAAAGTGAGGGTATTTGAAAAGTTTGTCATCTTTTTATTAATCCCAATTTCCTATTATTTTTTAAATTAGAATTTTAGTTCAGGGAATAGGAACCCTATTAGAATGCTGTTTTGTTTCTATTTCAGGAACCAAGGAAACATCTATTGCCAGTTTTGTTTGCTCGCCTTCACATGTTGAAAATACTCAATGAAACTCTAAAAACTTGTTTAGACATTTTAAACATTAAAAGTGTTTCTCAAATGTATTCACATTTTTATTTCCTTCACAGATTTTATGAATACAATAAGATTTTGTAACTTTCAAAACTTTTGCGAGCGCGTAATGCATTTGAATAGGCGCTTAAATGAATTTAGTGCTGAAATATCGGGCTTGGCGTAATTGGAAGCATTGATGTATTCCTGCTGATATTGTATGCAATATCGCGAGTGCACTCCAATGCGAGCTGCACAAATTATTCAACAAAATAAAACTTGTTCGATATCCCACGCCACAACAGAGCGCATAGAAAAAAAATGTTTTGTTTGGAAACACAAAGTTCACGTGATTGACCCAGGTATTTTATTGTGGGCATTGCGCTGCCGCGATTGGCCCGCCGAGCGCTCCCGAGCGGCGCCGACTAATCACGAAGCGGCATACACCGCCGCGCGTCCGACTCGCTAGTGTGCTTTTGACATCGGCAAACGCAGTCGTGAGCTCCGGAGCGGTTTCGGATACTTTTATTTATAGTTTTAATCGAATAAAGTCGTGTGACGTTCGTGAATACCTGTGATTACCCAGGATACCATAAATATGAGTATTGCTGACTTGATTCAAGCTGCTGAATTCCTCGAAAGGCGCGATAGAGGTGAATTGGATTTTCTTTGTTTGAATTGTCAATCGAGTGCACTTCACGCACACGTCAACATGGCTCCCGTCTATTTTTGCCGTGCCATAATCAGCTGATTTTGACGGAATGGCAGTGATCTTTGTTGCAGAAGCGGAGCACGGATACGCGTCAAGTTTGCCGGGCTGCGAAGAGTCCCGGTCGGGCGGACGGCGTCCGAAGACGAAGAAATCCCAGGGCAGCAGGTGAGTCAGTGCGGCCGGTGTTTAGTGCAGTGAAGTGCAGTGAAGTTTACGTGACAATCAGTGCGGTTACAATGTATGTTTTTTGTTCCAGGACGACTCATAACGAGTTGGAAAAGAACAGGTTAGTGTATTTTTATTTTATGTAAGAGTGCGGTGTCGGGATGCCGGCGTGATTTCGCGCGTGGCGCAGTGACCTTGCCGCTGTCTAGTCGGAGGGAAGAATGCACGCGTGGTGCCGGGTGCGGGTGGGGCGGATGACGTTGGTAACCCATTTGGCAGGGCGCTGGTGACGTCACGCGGGCTCGCCGCGAGCATCCGCGCTGGGCCGCGCTCCGCGAACAATGCGCTCCGTGGTCCGTACGTGACACGCTGGAACAACAAACCAGCAATTGCTAGCGCTGAATAGGAATTTAGAACCGGTAACTAAGTTGTCATTCTCGTTTCACTCCGCAATTTTAGATTGTTTTCGCCGTTCACGTACAGGCAACAAAAGATAATTGAGTTAAACTGCCACCGGTAATTTATGCTGTAGTGCGTTCTACTTGGAATCTGATGAGTGAGATGCACGGCAACATCTCGCGATAGCGCTGCCACTTGGATTCTTGTATGACACTTGTATGACCTTTAGGTGGGTGTAGCTGAGAAACCTTATCGAAACGCAAACTGTTAGGTTTATCTTAGAATACGCAAATAAATTAAACACAGACTTCAGTAGGCAAAGTGAAGGTAGATGCCTGAAGTTTCGTATACTCAGTTTCGGAGAATTTTCGCGAATCCACAAAATGTTTCTTTTCTTGTTAAAATTGCTAAATTATAAAGTAGGTAAAAGTGTATAGGTATGATATTTATACAGTTTTTCGGCGCCTTTGGGTGCAATGTGCACTCTCAACGCGTTTGCGTCAGCGACTTGATGATGATAGGTATTGGAAGGAAACCGTGTTTTAGAAAAAAAAAATATTCAACTGGTAATTTTTATATTAATTTACAAATAAAATTAACTGAGACTTGGTGCACAATGTTATAATCCGTGAATCTTGCGCGTATTTCCGAGGGCATATAAACATTTAGGTGAAAGGCTCATAATGTTAGAGATCTTTAGATCCTAGCAGAAATAACCTTTAGAACTAAATAAAACATTTATTTTCTTCACACTTAAACATTTTATATTGACTACGAGTCAGATAGGAGACCTCTGTGAATGCATCTTTAAATAACAAATCACAGAATTTTTAACCTTCAAACGTCTTAAGACTAGATTTAATAGGCTTTCAAATTAAAAAGCATCCTCTACCAGACAACCTATAATGGGTTATAGGTTGACCGTTGAAATACTATATGGGTATTACAAGCTTTGCTTAGTTTGGGACTAGAGGCGCAGTGTAAAATGTCCAAGGATATTTTATTTATTTAATAACCTTCACCCGACCAAGCGATATTCAAGTGAGTGTAAACACGGTTTGCATTCTGTTTATCTAATGCATTTTCGAGCTTGACGTATAGCAGACGCTAAATCGCCGCGATTCGGCCTTGACGGGGATTTAGCTGAAAAACGTTGCACACTGCTCCCATATTATTTCCTTTCGCTGCTGTTTTCAATTTATGAACATGAAAATATTTATTTATAAATTCTATGACACTAGCTGAACGCATGTTCACGAGAAATAATGTAGGATTCTAATAGTGAAATAATTTTTCAAATCGGTCGAGTAGTTTCGGAGCCTATTCGGAACAATGAAATCTTTCTAGTCTGCTTTTATAATGAGAAATATTGCTTTGAGAGCTTGCGAATTGGACATTTAAAACTTAACCAGTTGGTCACAATCTAACTTGTTCTAAACTTTTATACGTATAATGCTAATCCTGAAAGTGAAAGACTATGTGAAAATTAGTGATACTATTCAGCTTTCGGCTCTAAAACAAGTTGACAAAGCCGCATAGAACACTTATAGCACTCTTATAAAGTTTTAGTGATTTCAGTGATGTTTTATTGATCTCGCAATGGAAAATTATTTTTGTCTTATTTGCCGTTCTTGCTTAACTCTATGATAGAACTAATGGTTGGGCTCGTGTATTGTATGATTGTTTTCGAATAAGTTTGTCGCTTACAAATTAGATTTCTTATTCGTAGTCGAATTTAAAGAAATTCGTATAAGATGTGCGATTTCGTTTCTAACGATAAAATATCACCTATCTTTGACTTCTAACACTGTAGGTGACGTTTCTGATCTCGTCTGATGCGATAATGAAGATAGAATTATAGTCTTTAGGTGTAACATAATAGGTGTGTCTCTGCCTTGAAGGAAACGTAATTATCGCGTGATGGCCGACTCATTATCGTTCTGAGTCATCTGGCGATATTTAGATCGGCTTTATGTAACTAACTCAATGCAGCCGATAAAACTGGATGCACTGCGCATCTGAATTTCCATTTTATATGCATTTGCTATACAAACGATATTGGTAAAGACCATATTTATTAATTTTGCCTTCATAGCAACACAAGACACCCCACAAACTACACATTTTCAGTCAGCCGATAGTTGGATCGGGCTGTTCTTAATCACTATGAACGTGTATGGAAGTGCGCACATTACACGATTCTTCATACCAATTGGATGCCGACCAAATATCGGCAGACTAAAAGTCTTTAGTCTACGACCCTGTTTTACCGTTATTTTCAGTACTTATAGGATTTTAATTTCTTTACTACGCAATTAACCTTCGCCGACCAGGTAGATTTCCAGCCTGTAATAAACTATTCATTAACGAAAATGTTGTCTGAAATTAAAGTAGCTGTCTTTTCATGTTATTTCGCGTCAAATTTTTGATTTTTGTGTGCCCGTAAAAAATTAATGAAGGATCTAAGAGTTATAAAACCGGTACTTTCCGTAAATGGGTCGCGAAAGGTTCAGTGTGAATGCCCTTTTCATTAATTTGTCAGTCGAGAATCTGCGTGACGCGTCTTTTATGTCAGAACTAGCTTTTGCCTACAGCCTTGCCCGCGCGTAAATTAGCTTGTCACAGATCTTTATAAATTATAGCATTATTATTCTGACGTACCTATAAACAGTAATACTGTAAATTTTCATCAAAATCCGTTCATTATGTTTGTTACTTTACACAAACTTTCGCATTTATAATATTAGTAGGATTCTAAACCAGTATATTTCTAGGCAAGCATTTTCTATAGTTCTTACAATTTCTCCGAACTGAAACGAAAGTTTTTGTATTGAATAAATTACGTGTTACCTGTAAATGATTGCGTGATCATTTTTACACGTGTTCTGCAACTGATTACTGATTATGCATTAACTGATGATAATGATAGCTTCTATGCCCCAGTTCCGAAATAATTTCTATTCTAGACTTTGAAATATTGCAGAATATACGAAATAACATTTCCAATTAAAAATAAACATTTTATTACAAACTGACATCAATCCATAATACATTTGATTGATTGAGCAATAAAATATCATTAGTAACAATTTATATTAATTTTGTAAATCTATTTAATGAGGTTTATCACTGACTGAACATTATTAACATGTCTCTCAATTATTATTTTTTTAAACAACATAATATCAGGATCAATTTTACTACAATGACATTTTCTTTAATACATGAATGTAAAGTTTTGTCAGAACTAATTTTGTAAATCAGTCAACACACATTTTATTTTACCCAAAATGTAATCATATGAACAATAATTGCATTTTATGCAACAACACCAACAAGCTTTTCCATAATCCAGAAGATAGGCGGAATGATTGAAGTAAAAGTCCGGTTCTTTTTCAAGATCACGGGACTATTCCCACCTCTCGTTCCCACTGCTTCAACTCCTGTATAGCCAGGATGTTTCTTTTTCAAAATCCTAAACAGTAATTAAAATTATATCGGATTTTATTGCTCAAAATGTAAATGATTTTCATCATCCGGCGAATTCGTTCAGGCACACACGGGCGCTTATCACGGCACATTCTAATTACAGACGGTTATTAACGTTTAGGAAACTCGTGCGCACGATAAAGGCGCACTTACATTGGGCAAGTATTGCACTGTACGGTTGATGTGTCATCCACGTAATCACGCCATGTTTTGGTCTACACGTGATTGTTGCTAAGACTGTAATCATTGTGATTTTTCGCTATTTCGTAGACAAAGTGACGTTCGTTATAGCACAGAATAATTAAGAACGGTTATAGATTCGACTTCGCGATCGCTTCGCTATTGTCATAAATGAGGCTTTATTTTTTACAGTATTTTATATTGAAATGATGGATGTTGCTGTTCAAGAGATATACAGGGTGTTAGGTAAATGGGTATATGAGCCGAGACCAGCCCATGTTAACATACTCATATAAATACTATAGTGGTGTCAGAAAGTCTGGGAAAGGTACCATTATTGAGTAATCAGCTGATTCAGTTTAATGTCAGTTTTAGCTTGATGATAAGTGTAACAATAGGGAGGTAAAAGTAACAGTTGTAGATACGTAGATTAAGGAAAGTTGAAATTACATGAGCTCTAAACCCTGGTCGGATCATGAAGGTCGGTCTTCTGCCCTTCAAAACATAGGACGTTCTCGTAACACCTACACACAGATAGCTGTATACTGTGATAAACAACATTATTTCTCCGATACATAACCTACTTGAAGTTTAAAAATAGTGTATTCAGACGAAATAAACCTATCTGAGCCCTCTCGAGAAAAGCGTTGTATTTGCGAATATTTTTTAGAATCAAATTACGAGACTGGTAAACATCTTAATTCTATGCTAAAAACGAAATAGAAATAAGATACAAAATTTTCCTAACTCGATTATTCAGCTTCGATTCTAAGTATTGCTTTACGGCCTCACTAACGTATAAGTTACGAGTAGCTTTAAGTGAATGCTGAATTCTCAAAGCCCCGAAGCGTAAGGGTAGGTTTTAGGGATCCGTCACACGCGGAATTTATATTACATAAAGATTTTCTTAGACCTTACAAAGTGATTGATGTACAGTTAAGTAAACGGTCCGTTTGATGGAAGATTTCGGGCCTTTATCTGAAAAGTGTTGATCTCGATTCTCGCCCTCATGTACGGACTAATTGGGAAAATCTCTGGACAAGTGCTTCTTGA